TTCGAGTATAGGCGACTTTGCCTCAGTGGCAAGGCAATCTTCCCTGCTTTTGTCGCCACTTCTAGGTCTCACGAATGGCACTGGTTGATGCGTTACAACTGCCTTATCCATGACAATCCTTCTTCATATTTCTACACATCTTGAAGCCATGTTCGGACCTCACTGTATTAGTGTATCAGTGCTAAGCGCACAATCGTAGGTTAAAGAGCGGTCGCGTATTTATCTTAGAATTAAGGGCCCGCCCACCAGTGAGTCATTCTGTGCCATTCTCGGAGCATTTATCGGTGCAGGCGTCCAGTTGCGTCACGGAGCAGGGGTTAGGGTAGGCACGTAACAATTTACTTGGCGTGGTTGCATTGGCGGACCGATTTGACCATGCGAAAGAAATTCTCGGGAAAGTAGATTTCATCATTAACTTTCCCCGTCAACTTTGCTTACTTTATAGCAGAGTCTGTCATGCAGAGTGTTCTGCATTTCCTGGCTCTTCCCTTCTAACGGATGTGTGTTGATGTTTATACAGACACGTTCGAAGTAGTAAGGGGAGGGGGTCAAGTTATTAATGGCGATTGCAGTGTTTTATTAAAATCACGATTACTCTCTGCCCTTTTAACCTACCGCGTTTCAGCGTATGAATCGAATTTGCCCGCCAAGCGATAAGGTTCATAATCCTTTTACCTTGTTAGGAATATACTGGTATGCGCACTTGAGAACTTCCGCGATCGTGTTATATAAGTGATTCATTGCCTTCGTGTCGCCGTCGCTTACTCGGGTAGACTTTGGTCGTCTGTTTTGGGTAAGGCCCACAAATATTAGTCGGATGACCTGTCTTGGACTGGATGTCGGACAATTAAGTAATTCAGTTGACCCAATTGTGAAAAATTCGCGGCCTCGGTGAAATTCAAACCCACAGCAGGGAATGCTCTTGTACAGTCAACACCCCACCACTGAGCTACAAAAGTACACCCAAGCTTTGAATTTAATCACACTTGGATGTGCCTTCGTAGCTAAATCCTACAGCGTTGGTTGTACAAAAGCCCCCCCCGCTGTTGTGTGGGTTCGAGTCCCACTGAGGCCGGGAATCTGTCACAATTGGGTAAACTGAATTATTCAAATCTGCCAAATCGCCCCTTATAACTAAGTGATTTAAAAATGACAGTAAATCTTAATACTGGCTAAATACACAAACTTCTTACTAAGTCATTGGTGAACACTAAAAACGCGCAGGTAGCAACGCATAATATTATGTTCGACGAAACTTCCATCACAACCTTGATATCTGCCCTCTCATTTAATCATGTAATATGTGATTTCTCTACGCTCCTGAATGTTCTCCAGGCAGATGAGAATCGGTTGGGTGCAAATCTACTAATCAAATTTGTGCACAAACTGTCTGGCTTTAGTGAACTGTATCTTGCCCATCTGGTTATTAGCCACAAGTTCACATATAGCAATATACTGGAGATGCACGCCGTTGCAAAATGGTTTGAACGACTGTATGCGTGCTTAGCAACAAAATGAAATTTTTTACGGAATTATATTCAGCAGAAGAACCTTGCTGTATGTCAACTTTCCGACTTGCTTTATACACATGATGTTAATATATCATAAATTAGAAGATTTCCAAAATTTTTTCAGATTGTCCTCAACTAGTGGCGGCCCACCTCTGTCTGTAGGTTTAATTTCGGTTGATTATTGTCTACAACGCAGACAAAGCAAGACTGACGTTTATCTTTAGCTCCAGCAGCCAGGTTTCACCTGACTCATCGGAGTGCGATGGGGACTGTGAGGGCGGGAGGATAGGAAAAGGGGCTTCTTCACTTAATCTATGTCCTGTATAATCCAGGAAGTCTGTGAAATGTTATTTTGTCCTTCTCAATTAAACTTATTACGCATTTCGATTTTCAGCGTGTGCTAGAAAGGGAAACACAGAGTAATAGGTCTGAATGTCTCGATGTATAGGTATAATCAGACGTCGATTTCTTTTGTGAATTTTGCGGGATAGGTTAAAAGTAGCTTTTTTTGGTGACCTAGCGTTGCGTGGTCTCCGATTTCAGTTTAGTGCTTTTCTTCTATCTTTCCGTTAGAGTCTACCCGGCCCACCATCAACGACTAGAGTCTCTTGCTCAGCTCCTGTCCTTGGAGGACAACCAGAAGAATGCCAGAGAACTCTTGGATCATGTAAGTGTCTATCATATAAATTATACATTCTACCTTCCTTTTTATATCTTGCGTATTAGGTTTTCTTCATATCGGCACCAGTTTTCTTCGTTTGAACGCTTGCCAGAAACTCCAGCATTCCAAGAATCTCTTTCAACTTAATGCAGCCAGTTCTGAATTATATACAG